GGTATGAGAATCACCCCCATCCCAACTGCCAACCGAGCCGCAACCGCCAGGGTCAGAGATTCACCTCATGGCCTAGCTAGCTGCTATAAAGCCCAGCCACCAACTCCATTTCCTCATTATTTTCCAAGCTCTCATTTTCAATTCCGAATCCCAGCATGGAGCCAACTCGCCCCGACTCTCCTATCTTCAGGACCTCCGGGCCCCCTGACCCCCGAGACCTGAAGCTAGGCCATCCCCTATACAATCCAGAGCCCTTTCCGACTTGGGGATCACCACTCCCCATCATCCCACCAGGATTCGAGGATTCGCCCAAAGACATCCAGCACGACTTCAACGCCCTCCAGTTGAAGGAGTCGCCACCAATCGACCCTCCTGAGCTCATCCTCGAATCCATCATCAAGACCGATCCGCCCCCAATAATGGAGGTATCTGAGGAACGAGGAGACTACATCGACCTTCCCCATGATCACAAATTCGAGCCAGGAGAAGTTCTGCTCGATACCAACGGGCGACTGGCACGAGGCTACCGGAAATGGGTCCGAGGGATGTATGACAGCTGGTCATACATAACCATCGATCTCGTCCACGACCCATTCGACGGGAGTGCGAATGCTTAAGCGCGGAGAGTTACAACTGTAACGCGGATGTACCAGCCGCGACGGTTCGGCTTTCCCCGGAGGTTACTTAGAGGCTTTACCCCGGTAAAGCCGAACCGTCGCGGCTGGTACATCCGCGTTACAGTTGTAACTCTCCGCGCTTAAGCATTCGCACTCCCGTCGAATGGGTCGTGGACGAGATCGATGGTTATGTATGACCAGCTGTCATACATCCCTCGGACCCATTTCCGGTAGCCTCGTGCCAGTCGCCCGTTGGTATCGAGCAGGACTTCTCCTGGCTCGAATTTGTGATCATGGGGAAGGTCGATGTAGTCTCCTCGTTCCTCAGATACCTCCATTATTGGGGGCGGATCGGTCTTGATGATGGATTCGAGGATGAGCTCAGGAGGGTCGATTGGTGGCGACTCCTTCAACTGGAGGGCGTTGAAGTCGTGCTGGATGTCTTCGGGCGAATCCTCGAATCCTGGTGGGATGATGGGGAGTGGTGATCCCCAAGTCGGAAAGGGCTCTGGATTGTATAGGGGATGGCCTGGCTTCAGGTCTCGGGGGTCAGGGGGCCCGGAGGTCCTGAAGATAGGAGAGTCGGGGCGAGTTGGCTCCATGCTGGGATTCGGAATTGAAAATGAGAGCTTGGAAAATAATGAGGAAATGGAGTTGGTGGCTGGGCTTTATAGCAGCTAGCTAGGCCATGAGGTGAATCTCTGACCCTGGCGGTTGCGGCTCGGTTGGCAGTTGGGATGGGGGTGATTCTCATACCCCGGCTGTCGCGGCTCGAGCGGTTTTTGGATGGCTGTCGAATCGCCTTATGGGTGAGGGGTGAAATCCAGAACCTGGCATTTTGCAGCACGGTTCGGGGCGGTTGGTTGGCTATAATGGATGAAAAATATGGAGGGGGGAGGGGTTACTAAATTGCGCGGCTCGGGCGGTTGGTCACGTCCGGGTTTGTAGGTTGGCGACCATGGCTGTTGGTGGGGGTAGGTCTGGAGAATGGCTCGGGTGGTTGGTGCTGGGCATAAAAATTGGTCGATGAGCCATTCAAAAGACCGTTGTTGCAGTGTGCTGTAGGCTGGAGCTTGGTCGGCTTCAAGCTGAAGGGGGAGAGTCGGCTCGCCTTCTCTCGACCATCCGTCCGAATTCCGATGTCCCTTTGTCCCAAAACGATCCCCCTCCCTCCTCTAGCCTCGCAAGCTGGATCTTCTGTCTCGAGCTGACGCTTGGAGATCTTATACTTTGGATTGGTGTAGGAACGGGTTTCATCGCCCGTCTGAAAAATGAATCTAGACGTATGGAATGAGCGGTTTTGCAGTTGGGAGCGGTAGGAATCTTTTCAGATTCTAGGGGGGGGGTGAAAGTCGGTTGAGTGCGGTGGGCGGCAGTAACGCTGCTGCTGCAGTCTGTAAAAGACGGTTATTGCTGTTGGCTGTCCCCCTCGAAAGGCTCGTCATCTCCCGATGACGGTGCTGCTAGTCGGGCGGTTGGGGAAGATGAAAAGGCGCCCGACACCGATGGACGCTACTTTCGTAGCTTATAAAGAGCCACCTTCTCGCGTGGCTGCCAAAAGAATTGGCCATCCTTGGTACTGAGCTTGATCATGTTGCCGTCGATGGCGGCAACCGTGTAGAGTTGGCGGAAGCGAGCGGGCTGCTTGGTCCAATCGATCCTCTTGTTGGCGGGTTCGACGGCGACGAAATCGCCGACGTTGATGGGTTCGTCCTCCGTGCGGGTGGTGCGACGGAGGTCGAAATTCAGCTTCTGCCTCTCTTGGGCAATGTCGGAATTGTGGGCGGCTGCACGGAGCTCCTCCCCATAGAAGCACGTGCGGTTGTAGATGGTGGTGGCCGCTGCCCCAGCCATGGCATCATCGGAGAGGTCGATGGGGGTGGTGTCGTGGGGTCCGGTCCAGGTGATGGAAGCTGGACGGCCATATTGAAGCTGGAATGACGAGTGCTTGGTGGTGTCATGGATGGAAGCACGATAGCCGAAGAGGACGAGCCAGATATTGTCGTCCCAATGAAGGGGGTTGGCGTCGCCCACACGGTTGAGGGCGCCTTTCAGGGTTCGGTTGAAACGTTCGACTAAGCCTTGGCTTTGTGGATGATCCGGCGTTCCGAATGAGTGGTAGATGTTGAATTGGTTGAGGAGAGTGTCCACCTCTCCACGGAAATGGCCCCCGTTGTCGGTGTGGAGGACGGCGAAGCAGCCATGGGTGCAAATCAGCTTCTCTAGAATGAAGCGCGCGATGTTGGTGGAGGTTGCCTTCTGCAGGGGTTGAGCCTCAGGCCATTTGGTGAAATGGTCCATAGCGATGACGGCGTATTTGTTACCACGCAGGGACGTGGGTAGGCTGACCACGTCGGCGACCACTCGAACCCATGGGGCGATGACTGGGACGGGCCTGAGTTCGGTCTTGGCGGTGTACGATTGCTTCTGGAAGAAACAAATGGAGCAGTTGGCGACGAATTTGACGGTCTGTTGATACATGCCTCGCCAGAAATGCTGGGGCTGCAGCATGGAGTAGGTCTTGCGTTCTCCAAGATGACCGAGTCCGTGTGCAGCAGCGATGATCCCATTACGAGCCCTGAGTGGAGGGACTGGGAGTCGGGTTCCCTTGGCGTTGATTTTGTAAAGCGTGGTCCTCGAAAACTCGTAGATTTTGGTCCGCATTTTGACCCGTTTTTTCTCCTCCTTGGGCCAATCGGGATCGACCACTCCGGTCTTGAGAAACTGCATGCTATTTTTATCCTTCCAAATGTCGTTGAATCGACCTGCGTGTTCCTCCTCCGTCTCAGGTTCGATAGGAGGTTCCGCATCATGATCGGAATTGGTGCGCTGCTCCTTGGACGGCTTGACGTCCTCGGCTTCCAATTGACGTTTTCCGCGGTGGGGGCCTGTGGTGGATGGCTCTTCATGCTCATTGTCAGAGACCGCTTGTCCCTCTTGAAAAATCTCCATGGCAGGATCGATGTTGGTGTGATCCTCGTCAGCAGTTGCCTCGGCTGCATCCGCTTCTGTGACTGAGTCGGCGTTGGAATCGAAAGAGTCGGCTGCTTCTGGTTCGGTTGACCCTTCCTCGCTGTCCTCTCCTTCCTCAGCCTCGGGAGGTGAAGCTGCTGCCATGAAAGATGGTAAGATGGTTCGGCTGAGGGCATCGGCGTTGCGATGGGATGCCCCTGATTTGTATTGGATCTCGAAATCGAACTCTTGAAGGCGAAGGCTCCAGCGAGCGAGCTTCCCTGTCAGGTCCCGCGAGTTCATGAGCCAGGTGAGCGCCTGGTGATCGATCTGGACGGTGAATCGGCATCCGTATAGATACGGACGGAAATGCTTGACGGCCCAGATGACGGCCAAGCACTCTCCATGGGTCGGAGCGTAGTTGCTTTCAGCTCCCCGAGTGGCACGGCTTGCATAAGCCACCACATGCTCCAGATTTTGTTCGTCACGTTGGGCGACGATGGCGCCCACGGCTTCAGCAGAAAAATCCATCTGGAGGAGAAATGGCTTGGTGAAATCAGGGTAGACGAGGATCGGCGAGCTGGTGAGGGCTGTCTTAAGCTTATGAAATGCCTCCTCGCAGTCGTCGGTCCACTCGAATGGGGTCTCCTTTTTGAGGAGCTGGTTCATCGGGGTTGCTATCTTGGCGAAGCCCTGGATGAAGCGACGGTAATATGAAGCCAGGCCGAGGAACCCTCGAATCTGCTTCACATTTTCTGGTGTTGGCCATTACTGAACCGCCTTGATCTTCTCTGGGTCGGGGGCCACTCCATCGCGATTGATGATATGGCCCAGGTACGGCGTCTTGTTGAACCCGAAATTGCATTTGTTGATCTCGAGGAGCAGGGAATGCTCTTTGACCCTCCGCATTGCGAGCTTGATGTGCCCAAGGTGCTCCTCCCAGATGGTTGACCAAATGACCGCATCATCCAGATAGCAGATGATGAACGGGAGGTCTCGAAAGACTCCCATGATGAAACGCTGCCAGGTATCAGCACATACCCATGGTATCAGCACATACCCATGGTACCAGCACATACCCATGGTATCAGCACATACCCATGGTACCAGCACATACCCATGGTATCAGCACATACCCATGGTATCAGCACAAACCCATGGTATCAGCACATACCCATGGTACCAGCACATACCCTTCATGTCAGCTACATGCACTTCAAGGTTGCCCCTCACAGCATTCCCCTTAGACCGCACTGTCACCGTCACCACGTAGAATTTCTAAGCCAATAGCCACAAACTGATCGTGTCAGCAGATACCAACCATATCAGCAGATACCAACCATATCAGCACATACCAATCATATCAGCACAAACCAATCATATCAGCACAAACCAACCATATCAGCACAAACCAACCATATCAGCACATACCAATTGTGTCAGCCACATAGAAGTCCGTATCGCTCCTCACAGCCTGCCCCTTGGACCGCACCGCCACTGTCACCGCCTTGGGCCTGAGCTCCTCTGCTGTCATCCCCGGCTGCAGCGGCGGCGGGTGGTGCAGCTGGGACGATAGGAACTGGGGGAAGGGGTTGGGGAGGGAGGGTTGAAGAGTGGACTTGGGAGTTAAGTCGTAGGGATGGGGAGCCACAGCACTGCCACTGTGACCGCCTTGGGCCTGAGCTCCTCTGTTGTCATCCCCAGCTGCAGCGGCGGCGGGTGGTGCAGTTGGGACGACAGGAACTGCGCCATGGTTTGGGAAGACAGGGGGGGGGAAGGGAAGGGGGGGACACAGCAGGGATGGTTGGTGCTTGTGACAGGAGTTGTGGGGCGCACCTTCACTGCCCTGTGCCTCACGTGACTCTTGCCCCACCTCCTCTGCTGTCATCCTGGCTGCAGTGGTGGCGGGTAGTGCAGCTAGGACGATGGGACCTGGGGGAAGGGTTCGAGAAAGAGCGGGGTTGGGGGGGGGGGGAGGGGTGAGCTTAGGGAGAGGGGGGGGACGGGGGAAATACAGCAGGAGTGGGTGGTATTTCATAGAGGGCTGGTGGGTCCACAACACTGCCACTGTCACTACCTTGGGCCTCAGCTGCTCTGCTATTATCCCCGGCTGCAGCGGGGGGATGGTGCAACTGAGACGATAGGAACTAGTTTTGAGGCGCCTTAAAACTAGACTCCTATCACTGGGGAAAGCAGCTGGGAAAGGATTTTGGGGCTGGAAGGTGGGGAGAAGGGGTGGGGCAGAAGTGACAGGTAATGCAGCTGAGGGGCGAAGAATACGAATTCCAATAGTAAATGCTTGCCAATCCTAAATCCACCGTGCCGAATCGTCAAGAACCCCTCATCACCTTAAAACACTTCTCATCACCGTGCCTCCTCTGGGGGGCAACGAATGTGAACAGCCCCCTTTCCACTGTACAGTACTCCTCACATCACCAATAGCCCCTTCGCATACCTTACCTTACCAATGGCCGCCCCTCTGGCCGGGTCTCTGGGCACAACGACTGTGAGCAGCCTGGAAATGCGGTGCTTCAGATTGCAGTGCACCCGCAGGATGGCTGGGGGGGGGAAGGGGGGAGAGGGAGGCATGATGGGAAGGATAGGAAACAATTTCACCGCTTCTGGGGGGAGGGGAAGAGGAGGAGGGGAGGGGAGCTTTCAGGGAAGAAGAGAATAATCCAAAGTGACTCTCCCTTCCTCTCATCCCACACACCCACCTCTCCGTTGATCACCTTCCCCCCCTCTCACCTTCCCCCCCTCTCACCTTCCCCCCCTCTCACCTCCCCCCCCTCTCACCTTCCCCCCCTCTCACCTTCCCCCCCTCTCACCTTCCCCCCCTCTCACCTTCCTCCTCGCCCGCGTGTGTGCTGGCAGCAAGCCACACTCTCCTCCCCCTCACCGCCTGCCTCAGCTCCTCCTCCTTCCCTCCTCTCCCTCTCGCCCCCCCTCTCGCGCCCCCCCTGTCTGCCTCCCCCTCCCTGCTGCTCCTGCCGCTGCTGCCATGGCCGCCCATGGTCGCTGCGAGGGGAGAAGAGGCGAGAATTTAATTCATGAACTAATTGCTCTCCTAAGAAGACTTTTGAGTCGACTCAAAAGACAGCTTGATTGCTCTTCTACGAAGACAGCTTCCAGTTGCATCACCAAACCGACGGTTTGAATTTAAAAGCATCGTAGTGAAGGGTGCGCATGGCGAAGGGTGCGCATGGCGAAGGGTGCGCATGGCGAAGGGTGCACATGGCGAAGGGTGCACATGGCAAAGGGTGCACATGGCAAAGGGTGCACATAGCTGGCCATTGCAGGTGTGCCGGATGGGTGTGGAGGGGAGGGGATGCATCGAAGCAGATGGGATTGTGCAGAGGAGAGAAAGGGGAATGAAGAAGGAGAGAAAGGGAGAAAAAGAAGGGGATACAAACCACACCTGCCAACAACCACACCTGCCAACAACCACACCTGCCAACAACCACACCTGCCAACAACCACACCTGCCAACAACCACACCTGCCAACAACCGCACCTGCCAACAACCACACCTGCCAACAACCACACCTGCCAACAACCACACCTGCCAACAACCACACCTGCCAACAACCACACCTGCCAACAACCACACTTGCCAACAACCACACCTGCCAACAACCACACCTGCCAACAACCACACCTGCCAACAACCACACCTGCCAACAACCACACCTGCCAACAACCACACCTGCCAACAACCACACTTGCCAACAACCACACCTGCCAACAACCACACCTGCCAACAACCACACCTGCCAACAACCACACCTGCCAACAACCACACCTGCCAACAACCACACCTGCAAACAACCAAACCTGCCAACAACCACACCTGCCAACAACCACACCTGCCAACAACCACACCTGCCAACAACCACACTTGCCAACAACCACACCTGCCAACAACCACACCTGCCAACAACCACACCTGCCAACAACCACACCTGCCAACAACCACACTTGCCAACAACCACACCTGCCAGTAACCGCGCCTGCCAACCAATCACCAGCAGCAGCAGCAGCAGCAGCAGCAGCAGCAGCAGCACGCACCGAACTTGAGGTTCCCGGTGAAGCGAGTGAGCATGGGGTTGGCCCCCAGCCGCTGATAACGCAGCCCCTGCTCCGTGCTCTGGGAGGACACGGGGGAGAGGGTGGGCAGGAGGGGGGCGGTGGATAAGATAGCAGAAGGAGGAAGGTGGGGGGATGGGGGACGAGGGAAAGCCGCTGATACCGCAGCCCCTGCTCCGTGCCCTGTAGGGGAAAAGGGGGGAGGGCGGGCAGGAGGAGGGCTGGAAGGACAGGTAGCATAGGGGGGGAGGGGGAAGGGGGAAGGGGGTAAGCTGTCAATACCGCAGCCCTGATCTGTGCTCTGTGAAATTTCATGGGGAGGGTGGGCAGGAGGAGGGTGGGAGGGGCAGGTGCACGAGGCGACCAGCCATTGATAGCGCAGCCCCTGCTCCGTGCTTTTGAGGACAATGGGGAGGGGTGGAGGGGCCGGGGGGGGAAGGGAACACACGTGGAGGATGGGAGGAGCGAGACGAAGATCGAGGGAAGGAATTGGTATGATAGGGCATGAGGAAAGAACAGGAAATCTTCAAGGCACGCGCAGGGAGACACGGAGATCAGGAGCAAGGCGTGTGAATGTGGCAAGGCACGTGAATGTGGCAAGGCATGTGAATGTGGCAAGGCACGTGAATGTGGCAAGGCACGTGAATGTGGCAAGGCACGTGAATGTGGCAAGGCATGTGAATGTGGCAAGGCACGTGAATGTGGCAAGGCACATGAATGTGGCAAGGCGTGTGAATGTGGCAAGGCGTGTGAATGTGGCAAGGCACGTGAATGTGGCAAGGCGTGTGAATGTGGCAAGGCACGTGAATGTGGCAAGGCACGTGAATGTGGCAAGGCACGTGAATGTGGCAAGGCACGTGAATGTGGCAAGGCATGTGAATGTGGCAAGGCACGCGTAAGGAAAGGCATGCACGCAATTTACAGGCATGTGTGGGCATGTATTGTATTGGACAATGCATGCAAGAGGTCAATCATATCAGGTCACAACAGAGTGATGCGGTGGCAATACGGGAACAAACTTTGCGGTGATAAGGACGTACAGGGATGGTGATCAGGTTGGAGGGGGGCGTGAGACGTCTCAGAAAGTGATCAGGCGTAACATGGCAGTGATAGGGCGTAACATGGCAGTGATAGGGCGTAACATGGCAGTGATAGGGCGTAACATGGCAGTGATAGGGCGTAACATGGCAGTGATAGGGCGTAACATGGCAGTGATAGGGCGTAACATGGCAGTGATAGGGCGTAACATGGCAGTGATAGGGCGTAACATGGCAGTGATAGGGCGTAACATGGCAGTGATAGGGCGTAACATGGCAGTGATAGGGCGTAACATGGCAGTGATAGGGCGTAACATGGCAGTGATAGGGCGTAACATGGCGGGGGGGGCAGTGATAGGGCGTAACATGGCAGTGATAGGGCGTAACATGGCAGTGATAGGGCGTAACATGGCAGTGATAGGGCGTAACATGGCAGTGATAGGGTAACATGGCAGTGATAGGGCGTAACATGGCAGTGATAGGGCGTAACATGGCAGTGATAGGGCGTAACATGGCAGTGATAGGGCGTAACATGGCAGTGATAGGGCGTAACATGGCAGTGATAGGGCGTAACATGGCAGTGATAGGGCGTAACATGGCAGTGATAGGGCGTAACATGGCAGTGATAGGGCGTAACATGGCAGTGATAGGGCGTAACATGGCAGTGATAGGGCGTAACATGGCAGTGATAGGGCGTAACATGGCAGTGATAGGGCGTAACATGGCAGTGATAGGGCGTAACATGGCAGTGATAGGGCGTAACATGGCAGTGATAGGGCGTAACATGGCAGTGATAGGGCGTAACATGGCAGTGATAGGGCGTAACATGGCAGTGATAGGGCGTAACATGGCAGTGATAGGGCGTAACATGGCAGTGATAGGGCGTAACATGGCAGTGATAGGGCGTAACATGGCAGTGATAGGGCGTAACATGGCAGTGATAGGGCGTAACATGGCAGTGATAGGGCGTAACATGGCAGTGATAGGGCGTAACATGGCAGTGATAGGGCGTAACATGGCAGTGATAGGGCGTAACATGGCAGTGATAGGGCGTAACATGGCAGTGATAGGGCGTAACATGGCAGTGATAGGGCGTAACATGGCAGTGATAGGGCGTAACATGGCAGTGATAGGGCGTAACATGGCAGTGATAGGGCGTAACATGGCAGTGATAGGGCGTAACATGGCAGTGATAGGGCGTAACATGGCAGTGATAGGGCGTAACATGGCAGTGATAGGGCGTAACATGGCAGTGATAGGGCGTAACATGGCAGTGATAGGGCGTAACATGGCAGTGATAGGGCGTAACATGGGTGATAGGGCGTAACATGGCAGTGATAGGGCGTAACATGGCAGTGATAGGGCGTAACATGGCAGTGATAGGGCGTAACATGGCAGTGATAGGGCGTAACATGGCAGTGATAGGGCGTAACATGGCAGTGATAGGGCGTAACATGGTGGTGATAGGGCGTAACATGGCAGTGATAGGGCGTAACATGGCAGTGATAGGGCGTAACATGGCAGTGATAGGGCGTAACATGGCAGTGATAGGGCGTAACATGGCAGTGATAGGGCGTAACATGGCAGTGATAGGGCGTAACATGGCAGTGATAGGGCGTAACATGGCAGTGATAGGGCGTAACATGGCAGTGATAGGGCGTAACATGGCAGTGATAGGGCGTAACATGGCCGTGATAGGGCGTAACATGGCAGTGATAGGGCGTAACATGGCCGTGATAGGGCGTAACATGGCAGTGATAGGGCGTAACATGGCCGTGATAGGGCGTAACATGGTGGTGATAGGGCGTACCGTGGTGGTGATAGGGCGTAACATGGTGGTGATAGGGCGTAACATGGTGGTGATAGGGCGTAACATGGTGGTGATAGGGCGTAACATGGTGGTGATAGGGTGTACCATGGTGGTGATAGGGCGTACCGTGGTGGTGATGAGGTCGAAGCGAGCAACCATTGCCGAAATCAGAGGGAGGAGGAGTCCATCCATGGCGTGCCACCTGTCAAACGTTGATTGGGTCATGCGCGCGTTGAGCAGAGCGATGGGCACCTGAACGATTTGACGAGAGATGGGAGAGGAAGAGAATATGGGTTCGCTGCAGCCCACCCTAACGATGCTTACGAGAATACGAGAATATGGCTACGATTTGACGAGAGATGGGAGAGGAAGAGACTATGGGGATAATAGTCAACGATGCTTGGTACAGGGGTAGTAGGCCAGGCTGCTCAAGGCAACAATGGTCGATCGCTGAGAGACAGCGATCCCTGGTTCCGTGCAAAACAACAGCTGTTACTTGAATAAGATTAGACGCCTTTATACAAGCAGCAGAAGCCTAATCTCATTCAAAAGAATACCGTACTCCGAGCAGCAGGAGCGTCTTCATACAGTGTACGATTCCACTTAGGTTGACTCGTATGCACGAACAGGTCAGTGCTAGGGCAGATGTATCCTTTCTCTGAGCCGGGAAAAAAAGCAGCACTTTGATTTGAGCAAGAGGTTAGCCATACTTTCTGCAGCAGCGGTGAGAGCAGCAGGTTGGGCCAGAGCTGCTGCTCCATGAAGGCACCTCATTACAGGCACTGACAAACAAGCAGCAGGTAGCCCACCTCATTGCAGCAGGAAGACTTACTCTGTGCAGCAGCGGCGAGAGCAGCGGGTTGGGCCAGAGCTGCTGCTCCAGCAGGGATTCCTATTCTGTTCACCATGTGATGACACGCATTCATTCTGCGAACGAGCAAAGCAAGTGACCTTACTCTGTGCAGCAGCGGCGAGAGCAGCAGGTTGGGCCAGAGCTCCTGCTCCATGAAGGCAGCGGCGTTGGGGCACCAGTGCGCGAGGAAGCGCGCCACCGCTGCTGGCGAGTCCAATGGGGCCAGCTGCAGGGGGGGATGGAGACGGATGAAAGGGATAGCAGGCACGACGAGAGCGGAGGCAGACAGGGATAGGAGGCACAACGACATAACAGGTGAGTATGTCTGGCGCTCATATATGAGATGCGACACACATGGCATGTGGCATGAGGCATGGGACATATGACATGCTTGGCATGTGGCATACCTGGCCTGGCATGTGGCATACCTGGCAGGTGGCATATCTGGCATGTGGCATATATGGCATGTGGCATATCTGGCATGTGGCATACCTGGTATGTGGCATACCTGGCATGTGGCATACCTGGCATGTGGCATACCTGGCATGTGGCATACCTGGCATGTGGCATACCTGGCATATGGCATTACCTGGCATATGGCATACCTGGCATGTGGCATACCTGGCATGTGGCATACCTGGCATATGGCATACCTGGCATATGGCATATCTGGCATGTGGTATACCTGGCATGTGGCATACCTGGCATATGGCATGTGGCATATCTGGCATGTGGCACACCTCGCATGTGGCATACCTGGCATGTGGCATACCTGCCTGGCATGTGGCATACCTGGCATGTGGCATACCTGGCATGTGGCATACCTGGCATGTGGCATATCTGGCATGTGGCATACCTGGCATGTGGCATATCTGGCATGTGGCACATCTGGCATGTGGCATATCTGGCATGTGGCACACCTGGCATGTGGCATACCTGGCATGTGGCACACCTGGCATGAGGCATACCTGGCATGTGGCATACCTGGCATGTGGCATACCTGGCATGTGGCATATCTGGCAGGTGGCATACCTGGCATGTGGCACACCTGGCATGTGGCATATCTGGCATGTGGCACATCTGGCATGTGGCATATCTGGCATGTGGCACACCTGGCATGTGGCATACCTGGCATGTGGCACACCTGGCATGTGGCATACCTGGCATGTGGCATATCTGGCAGGTGGCATACCTGGCATGTGGCACACCTGGCATGTGGCATGTCTGGCATGTGGCACATCTGGCATGTGGCATATCTGGCATGTGGCACACCTGGCATGTGACGTACCTGGCAGATCACATGGGTCTTGGAGAAAGCCTTGGAGACAACAGACCTAGCGAGATATGCAGGGAGGGAGACAGAGGGGGGAGACACGAGGGAGAGGGGCACAAGGATGTGGAGAGGGGCACAAGGATGTGGAGAGGACGGGTGCAAGAGGGAAGGCACAGCAGAGCAGTCGGACGGACGGAGGGAGCAGCATGGGGGCCAGGACTACTACTCATACAATCGGAGTGACGAGCTAATGACACTGTGTGGGTCGAGTGGATGGTGAGGTGTGCAATGCGTGCGTGTGTGTGCCAAGAGGGCGAAAGTGTTGACAGGGGAAGGGGGGGGGGGGGAAGGAGAGGAAGGGAGGAGGGGGGATGGTGGTAGAGGCAAGAGAATGCGAAGCATAAGAGACTAGAGTTTCTACACCACGAGCGGCATGCAGAGAACGGGCGTACGGGGCAAGAGGAGTCTGTTTTTGAGGCGCCTCATGCAGAGAACGGGACGTACAGGGGAAGAGACAGCAAAAGACATACAGGGCGAGGGCGTTGCGAGTGGTGAAGAGTATTTTGAGGCGCGGCCGCTGCTGCATGCACTTGCGCACGAGGGGGATGGCGATGGCGCTCTCGCCTGGCGGGACAAGAGGGCGTGAAAAGTAGCGCGTGACACAAGCGAGGGACGCGAAACGAGGGGCGTGACGGGAGGACGTGGCAGCGGAGAGAGATGGAGAGGTGGGGAGAAGGCGCGCAGCCTAAGGGACTAACAGCCTAAAAGTCTAAGAGCCTGAGAGCCTAACAGCCTGAGAGCCTAACAGCCTAGCAGCCTAAGAGCCTAAGAGCCTAACAGCCTAAGATCTTGAGAGCCTGACAGCCTAAGCGCCTACCCACAGAAACGGCGTGGAACCACAAGAGAGGTCCATCAGGCCGCTTCGCGGAAGGTTCACCCAGCTGTTCCCGCCACCTGCTCCCCGCGCTGTCCAGTCCCAGCAGGGCACGTTGCCACAGGCCGATCGCCACCCACGGCGACGCGACGGCCGTGGCTGCTCTATACGCGCCTTGGATCACGGCGCCTGCTGCGGCGTCCGCCATTAGAGGGCTGGACGGACGCGGAGAGCGAGCAGGCGGCGCGCACAGAATGGAGTGAAAGACGCAGCGGTGTTTGCGGGCGGGCGAATGACCAATGAGAGGGTGAGAATGGTGTATATAGCAAATGAGGGGAGAAGCGGCAATCGCGGAAACATCGATGGGATCGTGAATCGTGAGTGGAGCAGAACAGGCCTGGAGAATGCCATTCTCTGCTGTGCGGCTGCTTTGTGTAAGAGTCGGCTCGATGTGTAACATAATTTTTCCCATTGTACACTGAAGACATATTGGCGTATGACGAGGCATGACAAAGATGACAGAACTCAGCCACTAACCACTTAATAGGATTTTTTAATAGCGGGTCAGTGCGCCCATAGTCCCTCAGGCTCTGCACCTGTGGCCCTTCCCCGATGATCCTCTCAAGGGTAACCCCAGTGGGTCTCTCGACAAACGACACAGAGTACGTCTTTCTAAGGGTGCACTCCACTCATGGGGCAATCACCTTGCTCCATTCTATAGTCTCATGCTAAATCACTAAATGAAATGTAAGCACTTTTGTACGAATGTTCTATACAAAGTGAACCATGAAGGAGAAATAAGTGCACAAAAGGGATTCGTCTTCAAGCCGTAATACCAGCAGCACTCTCCAGCGGTCTCTGCAAGCAAACACTGCTCAACACATGTCGTTGCTCTCTGTACAAGTTGCAGTACCTGTTCCGACATAGGCAGGGCAAATGGCGGAGAAATGGATTATGCAGAAACTGAATGATCAAAACATCAAGGTCTCACCAGGAGGTACTAATGTTCCTAGTGACAGGGCACTCAAAGTTTCAGGGTGCTCAATTCAGTGTGGTTTTGTGTAATGGCCACCACACCATAAATTGCCAACCGCAGCTTCAGTTCCTTGCTGTCGACCCATGTTCAGAATAGCCCCTAAGATTGCCAACCGCACCTCCCACATCCCAGCAGTAACGCCCCAGCTCGTACCTGCAGTACACCATCCTTCCAGCTAAGCTTACTCTCTGTCTGAAAAACACTTGGCCCATGGTCATTTCACACCTTGTATTTTCACAGGGGTTCCCCGAGAGGGCATTCACCCTCATAACAATGATCTGTGAGGCGGGTTCGACAACCCCTGAAAAAAGAACGAGCCTGGGTTTCCAGACTAACGTAAAATGTTTATGGCGTGGTGTTCCCCATTTTCCTACTGTCTGAATTCTAAGTCTCGGACCCATGCCTTCCACGCGAAGACTGCGAAGGTTAGGGCTGGAGCCTGCAACACGGGAATGATATCCGCAGACCCAGAGATGGTCAGGGTGGCGAAAAAAATCCACTGCCGCCCAGTTTCACGCGGTGAAATTACTGCGGGCTAGGTATATGTGTTGTGCTGTCTGCTTATGAAAGGCTTCCTGCACTCATGCAGTTCCCTTGCTTACCACACTTCACTCCACTCTCAGATCACCCATACTTCCCACCGCATGCTCACTCCATACATCCTAGTGAGCCCGCTTTCTCCATCTGGCCGGGATGCCATCATGTTATGAACGACTCGCCACAGCCACACCTCTCCTTCGTTTACCCACCCTACCCTCCCCTTGACACCCCGCATGCCCAGTCCATAAAAACCCGACCCGACTCTAACTCACTGTTTCCACCTGAGCGACGGTCCTGTCATGTCATGAAGGACTCGCCACAGCCGCACTCGCCCTTGGCGTTGGGATTCACAAACACAAACTCCGACCTGCACGGTCCCAGGGGCCAGCACGCACAGGCAATTACCACAGGCATGAATGGCTCAGGATAGGGAGACATAGTGATGTAGTATATTGCAAGGGGGAACAAAAAGGGTGGAGAAAGGGGGAGGGACACAAGGGGAAGGGATTTTGAAGTCGACAGAGGAGGGGGAGCAAGAGGCAAGGTACGTGGGTAGAGTGACTGTCTTGAGAGTCAACAGTGGACCCAGCAACGGCCAAAAGGAAACAAGCTGCTGGCCTCACTGACTTGGGGCTGTCTTGCACGAAGTTCACGGTGGTGCCAATCACGGCCATCAGTCAGCGCCTTGGGCTTGAGAGCTCCCAAAAGTAACGAGTATTTGGTCGCAAAAGAGAGAAGCATGGGTGTGTGACTGACTTGAGGCGGTCTTGCACGAAGTCCACAGTGGTGCCGATGACGGCCATCAGCGCCTTGGGCTCCACCACCACGCGCACACCCTTGTCCTCCACCACCTCATCGAACCTCCCAGGCTCGTCTGCAGCCATGCACGAAGCAACAGGAAATATGAGTAATTGCTGAGTTACTGTTGAAGCCGCCACCCCCACGCGCTCGCCCTTGTCCTTCCAACACCTTGTTAAACCACCGGGGCTCGTCTGCAGCCATGCATGAAGCAACATGGAATAGGCGACGTTGTTGAGTTGAAATAAAAGGCGCCACCCCCACGCGCACGCCTTTATCCTCCCAACACCTAGTCAAACTGCCCAGGCTAGATTGCATGTGCAAGCTCGCATTCACGCACAGGCAAGAAGGAGCGGCAATGACACGATAAGTTTTTTTTGTAGGAGCGAGCTTTAAATCGACACGAAAGGCTCCACCACCACGTGCTCGCCCTTCGCCACCACCACCTCGTCAAAACCCCCCCCCCCACCCCCCCCCTTCCCCCTCGTCTGCACATGCTCACGCACAATGCACCGGGGGACAGCAGAATGAGACGATGGGAGCGGACACACGGCGAATTGAGGTAACTGAGAGCAATAAGGTAAAAAACGGAGCAGAGACTTGGGGGTTCTCTTGAGCGTAGTCCTCGATGTGTCATGAGGGAGGCGAGGGAAACGTCGTTAAGAGAGGGGGAAGAGAGCGTCTCCACTCGAGAGCAAACCACTCCCCTCGGTATCCCTCCAGCAAACCGTTTCCTTGGGACTACAAAAGCGCCTCTCCTACCTGTGAATTGCAGCCTGCTTCTTAATAGTATCAAGCAAACCGTTCCCTCGCCTTCCTGCGTAGGTGAGGGTGTACCTCATCCCGCTGCAGAGGTGACTTTTGAGTTGACTCGAAGCCTAACTGCGTATGCGAGAGCGTAGTTGGGACTTGACAATTCTAAAAAACCAACCTACCCGCGTAGGTAAGAGTATAGCTCATCCCGCTGCAGCCGCGCGACTTCACGCCGAGCTTCAGGTACTCCTTGTTCCGCCTCGTCAGCAGATCGCGAATCCGATCCGCCGCGGCGTCCGTCAGCTGAATCACCTGCCGCCGCTGCGCGCGCGGCCGGATCGCTGCCTTTGCGGCGGCAGCGAGAGCCGCGGTCATGACACGAGAGGGAACTGATGCTGTTGTTGTTCTTGTTGTTCCTGCGAGCGAACCTTGGTTTCGTGGCTGACACGAAACGGCGTGCTACGACAGCGCGTAGCAGCTGCGTCCTAACGCCGTCGCTAGAAAGACGAAACCGCCTATCCTACCCGAAGAAGACGAGCCTTGGAATTTGCTGTCGGTGCTCACGGATTCAACCTGCTCCTTTGGAGACACTGGAAGCCTGTTGTGGCGAAGTACTGTAATTTTTTGTCGAAGCGTTGAGCGAGTGAGGTGAGTGTTCTGGGGAATTGGAGAGAGGCAGGCACGTGATTCATGCATCCTCCTGACCTGAGTTCTCGAGGAGAGGAGCCTGTACAGTTGAAACGTAAGAATCATCGTTTCAGATTGACGTCAACCAATAAGCCACATAGCGGGTCAATCGACCTCGGAGACTAGAATACCCGTCAAGTGTCAGTTCTTGAGACAGGAGAGGAGGGCTGACATACGGCCTCGATCAGAGAGGTCTGAAGGTCTCCTCGGGATTGCCAACAATTCGCTATAACGTATAACTCTTACAAGATACAAATAGCTGTCATGAGTATGATGAAGCATTGTGTTACGCTGTCACATTCAACTATCCATGTGTATGCCTAGGATGGTGACAAATTCAAACATTTTCTTCCTTGTCCCCTTCCAGTTCACAAATTCAGGGGAAAGTGAGCAAATGAACTACACAGAGGTGTTGATGTGGTCCAACTATGAGGTGGAAATGTTTTGCTAGTAATTTCTGGTGTAAGGGTGAGCGTAAGAAGAATTCCTACATCATGAGTGGACATCGGGCTTGGCCTAATGAATGACAGGTAACATCCACCGTCATAACTACGTGTTTCACGCTCGAGTTGTCGATCCACTGGAGAGTCGGTTGCAGTTTTCCGTCCAATTCTTGGTTTCGCATTTGCCCGACGGAGAGTCACTTCCCAGGTGACCTTTTTAGGTTCTCCTTGCTGGTTTGTCGGTTGCATGCATACTGCGTATTTCCGATCTAATTTCGGGTCCGATTTACATTTCTTTCAACCTGCAAAAGATTTAGGACGCGCCCTGACCCGAATTGATTTTTCGTCATGGTTTCCCCCGGGGTACACGTCAGGTTCATTCCTAGTCTCATTTCCGTCCAGGATGGACTTGATGATTCTTTCTCTGTTCGTTTCATGAACACGTCCTAAGCGAAATCCAAATCTACGCAAAATTAGCGAGGGGGGGGAGTGAGGGCACTAGGGGGCTCAAGTCTTTCAGAGGGACTAGGTCACTAGGTAAAGCAAGACTGCCGGACAGTTAGAGTCTCGTTGCGCGTCATGGCCTTCGCCCTGTGCTCTCGCCCCCTCGTCTGCCTTGCCGCCGCCGCGACCGCCGTCTCGCGCCGCGGCGGAATGCCGCGAAGCGATCATAGTCAGGGGGCGATGCTCTCCGCGCTGGTCACCGCGCGCTCTCCGCGCGCCCGTGCACTGCTCAGTCCGCGCACTGCCTCCGCAAACCCTGCTTCACCGCTTCTCCCGCACTGCTCCGCGGCTGCTGCAAATGAGGCCGAAACGGAGGAGGATGGAGGGGCGGAGGCAGGAGCAGCGGGTGGGGATGTGCTGCGGGTGGTGTACCACAGGTGAGTGGTGAGCGTGGGTGAGTGTACCCAGGGGTGAATGGCAGTGAGTGGGCAAGTGCCACGGCTGAGTGCACGCCTGTAGAACTGGCTACTTGCGCGTGTGCAATGCCTTCCCAGGGCACGTCACCACTGGCGCCCACTGCCTTCTCACCTCCCATTCCCCACGTCCCTTCGACCTAACCTTGAAATCACCACACATGGCCTCAGTGCGCGTCAGGGCATTGCGCCTAAGGATTGTGCAGGGCTTGCGTGCAGGGCTTGCGTGCAAGGCAATGGTCGGGATTGCTTTCTGCTGTCTGCCCAAGATGCCATTCTGTGTTGTTCCCATGACGTCATGCTTTCTTCCCATACCGCCATGCTGTCTGCCCATGACGTCATTCTGTCTACCCATGACGTCATGCTGTCTACCATGGCGTGGTGGTATCTTTATGCCACCTCGCACTGCTGTCTGCGCTCCCAGGGTGGATGGCGACTACGCGGGGTGGGGGCTGCACGTGTGGGGCGATGTGGAGTGCGAGACCTCCTGGCAGGACCCCCTGCAGTATTCCCCCCCCCCTGCTGCTGGCGGTGGTGGTGGTAATGGCATGGGTTGTGTGGAGTGGCGGGTGCGGCTGAAGGCAGGCGCGCGGACAGTGAACGTGCTGCCGCACAGGGGGGACTGGAAGGTGACCTGCATGCGCTATACCTTCACACCACATACCTTTGTGCCTCTCACACTGCGTGCCTCGTGCCTTCAAGTTTTCACAGCATGACATGACATGACACAGCATGACATGACACGGCATGACATGACATGACACAGCATGACATGACATGACACAGCATGACATGACATGACACAGCATGACATCACACGTGACTGGCACAAGCTACTGTATCTCTCCCTCAGCCCACCTCCTCCGTCCCTCACTCCATCCCCCTCATTCCCCTTCCCCCCACTTTTTTCCCCCTCCCCTCCCCCCTTCTGTGCGCAGGACTGCACGTGGACCATCGACCTCGCCACTCTCCCCTCACCACTGTCGTCCACCTCGTCGTCCTCCTCCTCCCCCCGCACCCCCCCCTGCCCCACCGTGTGGCTCGTCTCTGACCGCCAGCACTTCTTTCTGCACCGCCCCAACCTCTCCCGCCTCCCCAAGGTGCCTCCGTCCCACCCCTTGCTGCCTCCCGCCTGCTTTTCCTGGTGTGGCATCTCTTGGAGTGCTGCATAGCCTGCTTCCGTCTGTTGTTCTCGCTCATGGATCACTCGCCCTACATCCCGTCCCACGCGTCGTCTCAACGCTCACCCACCCATCCCTTGTGTACTGTGCTTGCTCTGTGAGTGTGCTGTGGGTTGCTCTATCCTCGTTTGAGGGTTGTGTGCTAGCAGGGTAGCCTCGATCTGTTCAAGGCTCACTGGGTGTCGGCTGATGAGATTGCAGTAAATTGGGACTATTCTGAGAGTGACTATGGCGAAGAAATACTGTTCTTGCTGCATGCGAGTGACTCAGCCTCACTCTCCCTCACAGAGAACGGCGTGCAAGGTGTGTTGCCGTGTATGCTATTCTAGTCTATGATCCGTTGCACGCTCTGCACATGGCGTTGCTGCATCACTGCGACAGGGCGTCCGTTGACCTCTGTTCAAGCAGCAGTATTGAAGGGAAGGCGACCAGCTGTGCAGCTGGTTGACTGTTCCTCACCACCATCTCTGCATGCCCCTCTCTTTTCTTCTATTTCCGTTTCCTTTCAAATAGTTTGCGCACCGCCTAGTTGTCCTCGCCTCACCATGACGGTCCTCTTGGAGGATCTACCGCTGTCTGTCTCCTCCCCCCTTCACTTCCCTCCCAACCATCATCATCTGCTGTCATCATGTGCCATCGTCATGTGCCATCATCATCCCGACCACCAGGGGCGGACTCTGTCATTCCGCTCACACTGGACCCTGCTGGCCTCTCGTCTGCTGTGAGCCTACCATCCCAATGCATGGTCCAGTGGTGCACGGTGCAGTGGGGCACGGTGCAGTGGTGCATGGTGCAGTGGTGCAATCGTGCAATGGTGCATGTTGCAATGATGCATGTTGCAATGGTGCATGGTGTAACGACGCATAATGCAAGCAATGATGCATGGTACAATGATGCATGGTACAATGATGCATGGTACAATGATGAATGGTCCAGTGATGTATGGTGCAGTGATGCATGGTGCAGTGATGCATGGTGCAGTGATGCATGGTGCAGTGATGCATGGTGCAATGATGCATGGTGCAGTGATGCATGGTGCAGTGATGCATGGTGCAGTGATGCATGGTGCAGTGATGCATGGTGCAGTGATGCATGGTGCAGTGATGCATGGTGCAGTGATGCATGGTGCAGTGATGCATGGTGCAGTGATGCATGGTGCAGTGATGCATGGGGCAGTGATGCATGGTGCAGTGATGCATGGTGCAGTGATGCATGGTGCAGTGATGCATGGTGCAGTGATGCATGGTGCAGTGATGCATGGTGCAGTGATGCATGGTGCAGTGATGCATGGTGCAGTGATGCATGGTGCAGTGATGCATGGTGCAGTGATGCATGGTGCAGTGATGCATGGTGCAGTGATGCATGGTGCAGTGATGCATGGTGCAGTGATGCATGGTGCAGTGATGCATGGTGCAGTGATGCATGGTGCAGTGATGCATGGTGCAGTGATGCATGGTGCAGTGATGCATGGTGCAGTGATGCATGGTGCAGTGATGCATGGTGCAGTGATGCATGGTGCAGTGATGCATGGTGCAGTGATGCATGGTGCAGTGATGCATGGTGCAATGATGCATGGTGCAGTGATGCATGGTGCAGTGATGCATGGTGCAGTGATGCATGGTGCAGTGATGCATGGGGCAGTGATGCATGGTGCAGTGATGCATGGTGCAGTGATGCATGGTGCAGTGATGCATGGTGCAGTGATGCATGGTGCAGTGATGCATGGTGCAGTGATGCATGGTGCAGTGATGCATGGTGCAGGGATGCATGTTGCAGTGATGCATGGTGCAGTGATGCATGGTGCAGGCAATGATCCATGCTGAATATATCTATTCGCGTCTCACTCACTCCAATCACTCTGTGGACCAACCCTCGAAGCACCTCCGCACCTTCCTCACACAGCCTGCACTGCCGCTCCTCCATCCCCATTCCCCCCCTTTCCCCCCCCCACCTCCCACTGCACAGGTGCGCCTCAAGTTCCCCCACCTGGCGTCCTTCACGTGCCTCCGTGTTTCCACCTCTACCCCCATCCCTCACCTCCACCGCCTTCTCTCCTCACAGACCGCCCTCTCCTGCTCCTCTGGTGCGTGCTGGGGGGGTGAGGGATGAGAGGCGATGGATGTGGACGAAGGAAAAGGGTTTGAGGCGTGAGAGGAGGATGGCAATTGGGTTGTGGGGATAGAGGGAGAGAGAGTGTGCGTGCTCACGCTTCATTAGGTGCCCTTTTGAGTCGACTCAAAAGCTTTCTTTGGGGAAGCGGCTGTGTGGTTAAGGGGGCAGGGAAGGCAGTGCAATCCTTTCACGCTGAGTGCTCGGCTGTCCAAAAGGCCAGTTGCTTTCTACACTGTATGATACACTGTATGATACACTGTATGATACACTGTATGATACACTGTATGATACACTGTATGATACACTGTATGATA